GTCAGTCTCGCTTCGGCTCAACTTATTCTTAATAAAGCACCCTTTAACTTCTCTTTGTTCATTAAAGCTATCCATTATGATTTTCCTGCAAATTTACCAGTCCTCTAAAATTCATTGCTATTAAATACTACAGTTTTGACCTCACAGACTGGTTAGTGTTACATCCCACTTTGACTATAAAATGAAAATTACAGTTCCTATTCTTAGAAAAATTCACACATCACATAATTTGTATATAATTTTGAGATTCAGAGCCATACTGGTCAACAACTCCTGCCATAAAGGATGCTGGAGTTAGAATGAACCTGTGCTTCTAAGGCACCTATTGTGTCTGCTGCTACATAAACCTGCTGCGAGTTCCATAGACGTAACTCAAGCACAATGACGCATTAGTCACACTTCATATGGGGGTATTTAAGTTTTTTAAAACCCTTTTTATTTTGAAATCATTTCAAACTTTATAGAACACTTACAAAAACACCACAAAGAACACTTTATTCAGATTGTTCAAAAGTTACCATTTGAACATTTAATTTTAAACGAGTTCACTACTTTTAGTATGGAACCAAAAATCTCATGTCAACAATTCCCAAATCCCCAAGCATCTGAAACTAAAAGTTTTATAACTCCTTCTTTCTGCCGCAAAATCTGATTGAGTCCATTTACAGTCATTGTTTACCCATTATAATGTGAATGTTTGAAAGTTTCACTGCAGAAATAGTATTCTCTGATTATGCAATGCTGCCACAGACCTACTACGGATGAATATAATATAGTAAATGTACTATATCCCCAAGGATTTTAGATAAGAAAATGTAGACCTTTAATTGTCATGGTACATTATTTACTTTAGGTATTATTTCATTTAATCCTCTCAATATCACAGTATGTTCAACCTTGCCCAAGGTTACCTAATGTGTACCAAGTGGCAGGCCAATATTTAAATTCAGGTTTATCTGAGTCAAAGCCTTAACCACTTTTTAAAGTTAAAAAAAGCATTGAAAACGAGTCTCTTAAAAACAGAAAAGAGAACAAGTGGTGAAAATAATTATTTGAAAAGATTTAATATTCACTTTTTTCCTCTTTCCAATAAATAACATCATCTAAAATCTTGATTATTTTCATATGAATGGTTGAGAAAACACAGGTATCCCAACAAAGGTACTTCTGTGTCTTTTTTCATGTTCTTCCCCTAAAGTACAGGACCTTATTTATTTATGTTGTTACTTATATACCACCTTTTACCAATGAAAATTTTCTGTACTCCTGATTCTGCCATGTGTTAAGTTTGATAAGTATGTCTGGTATATATCTATATCAGTGGTTCTAAAATAAGGGTGATTTTTGCCTCTCCCCATCTGCCTCCATCCCAGGGAGCATCTGGCAATATCTGGAGACATTTTTTTTTTAAAAAAACCAACAGAGGGTGAGTGTGCATGTTACTAACATCTAGTGGGTAGAGGCCAAGGATGCTGCTAAACATCCTAAAAGGCACAAGACCACCTTCCACAACAAAGAATTCTCTGGTTCAAAATGTCAACAGTGCCAAGGTAAGAAATCAAGACCTAAATCACTGATGAAAATGCTGAACAAGAATGAAAAAAATACTGTCATTAACGAGATTTATTTCTAAGCTGACTAACCGACAATGTTCTTTAAGTATAGCTTTCAACTATCTGGGAATTCACGTTAATCCTTTATTATTTATCCAACATCTGAATACAGACACTTTAAATTCAGTTAGTAGCAAAACCATTTTCCATTTAAAAATATAATGGACCATGTAACAATGAACAAATGGAAAAATTCAGTTACATAGATTTAAATTATTTTTTTCACTGAACTGACTCCCAGAATGGTTCTATGAATGACTGGTCACCTTAATTTAGCAGATTGGATTAAAGTCAAATGTTACACTTAGATTTTAAGTTATCATTCTAAAACATATGGGCAAGTATTCCAAAACTCAGTAGCAATTAAATAAAAGCAAATTAAAACAAAATGTTATTTCAACATTTAAAATTAAAAATTTTTTTTAAAAAGAGACAACTCAGTGTAGTGAGATGTTTAAAAAGGTATTCTCATATAGTATTACAAATAGAAATGAAAATTGGTTTAATCCTAATGTATTACTAGTCCCACTCTATAGATGAGTAAACTGAGGCACAGAGTAGTTAGGTGGCTTAGCTTAAGATCTCATACCTAGGAAGAGGCTGATGAGAGACATTTGAACCCAGGCAGCCCACCTCCAGTTTGTGCTCTTACCACTTCATTTTACTATCTCTATGGTATAGAGATTGTTTTTACAACTATGTGAAATGTATCAAAAATGACTGGAAGGCAAAATTAAAGGTTAGACTAGTAAAAATACCTAAATGTATACAACAGATCAAGATGAGATATAAACAGACACATCTTTGAAGAAATCAAAATTTAAGAGCTCAGGGCCGGCCGAGTGGCGCGATGGTTAAGAACTCACTTGGGACGCCAGAGGGCCCCGGTTCGGATCCCACATATGAGGGCCAGTGACACTGCCCTCCACAGCTAAGATGCTGAACAACAGCTC